AGAGAGAGAGAGAGAGAGAGAGAGAGAGAGAGAGAGAGAGAGAGAGAAAAGAGAAAGAAAAGCGTCCACTTTCACTCAAAATTGAGATTTCGGCAAAACAGATGTCGGTTTTATAGAAACGGTCTATTTATTTGGAATCTAACTTTTGGATTGAGTTAATTGCAAATGAATTGATGGCCTAGCTCAAAAGAAGAAAAAATAAGCACACTCACACACTTGCTGCATTTCTGATCTCAATAAATTCGTTGCTCGTGGGAGTTGATGCAGTAAAGTTGATCCGAAAATGGTGGTAAAAAATGAGGAACAAAATGGGTACTTCCCATCACCTTGATGGTTGAAAAAGTCGGATGGAATTCCGTATAAAGAAATCCAAGTGAGTAGAGAAAAAAAAACTGAAGAAAAATCTGCGCGACAAGTTATCAGAATGTATTTTAGATGAAGATGAAATTACGTTGATGTCGACGACTAACAACGGCATATATGAAAAAATCCACACTCAAGCGTGTGTCTCTTTTTTCGATTTGCATTAAGGCCATAAAAACACGAACGATAAGATTAATACGATTCTTTTTTTCGTTGTGGGATTATTCGCTTTTCATTCTTGGCTACTTTGTTTGCGGCGCACAAGAAATTGGTGCAACTACCTCAAAACAAGAGATTCCATTAAAAACCGAAGGTAAAAAAAAAAAGCTTAATAAAATAAGACCAAACATGCCAAATGACGGGGTCCGACATTGAACACGAAATGTGTTTTATTTGAGCGTTGTTGTCCTTGAAGAAATTGTGTTTTTTTTTCTTACTGTGTGCGTGTGCGAGTAAGCGTTGGCTCATTGTTATTGTCCGTGTCCGTGTCCGGAAATTTTCGAATCGTTTTTTTTTTCTTATTCCACATTTTGCGCTTCATGATTTACTTATGATTCATTATTGTGTGATGCAATCACACGTCACATTGGTCAATTCACCAAGAATGAAACGAAAAACAACAAAAACGAAATGAAAAGGAAAAAAACACTCAAATCAAACTTATAACGAACAACAAACAAACAAACAGCAAAAACGAAAACGACAAACAAAACGAATCAAACGAAGTTGTTGGAAATAAAAAAGCACTAAAAGAGATAGTTTTTCACTATGGATTGGATTAAACTCTGCGTCACTTTTGTTGGTGTCCGTCTATTTTTAGAGACACAGAAACCGAAAATTCAATATTCTGAATGTTCAACCACTTCAATTTTGTATTCGGTTAATTGATTCCGATTCAAATGATTGCTGCATTCAGTCAAAACTACATTTCCACTGGAATGTGATAGATAATACATAAATATGTTCATTGTGAATTGAATAATGCAGAAACAAAAGAACTGATAACAAAAGAGACTGCAGTGAGAGAGACAAAAAATGATTACAAAAGAAAGAAATTGAAGAAAAACCGCGTAAAAATGATATAAAAAGCGTTTTTGTCGATGTTATATTGCATAACATTGTCGATGTCCGATTCACTTGAAGTCATAAATTGACAAGCAATGAACGTGCACGCATGAACGAGAGAGAGAGAGAGAGAGAGAGAGAGAGAGAGAGAGAGAGAGAGAGAGAGAGAGA